TTCCTGATTTAAAATTTATGATTGAGCCTATTATTCTTCTATTACAAAGATTAACATTATTTTATGCATTTTTATAATTAAATCTTTCAATGGATTTATTTACAAATAGATTCATCCCATGGATACTTGCTTTTCTGTTTTATTTTGGCATATTTGAGTTCAGGTATTTAATCTAAACCGGATCCTGGAGCTTTTTGTAAAGGCGGAAGGAATTTGATGATACAACAATTGTTAAAATAGTTTAAAATAAATCTAAACGATGATATGTTCGCCTATAGAAAATATTTGAGAAGAATTGGAATTCTATATTTTTACCGAATACAAACATTTTTTTTTTCAAGGCCGATAAGAAACATTTGTCGCGTCAAATTCCTTATTTTCCAGTAATTTTTTTTGCCAAAAAAATAAGTTGTCGGAAAAAATCAATGAATTTAAATTCAAGAAAAATTACGAAAGGCAGTTAAAAATATTTAACATTTTTTTGCGAAGCAAATATATATAATGGTTTTATTTCAATTTAAAGTTTTAAAAATTTGGTTAAAACGTCAGAAGGAGGTTAACTCTGCTCTTACATTTCAGTAGAGGGTGTTGCAAGGNGAGCCGAAATCAATTTTTTTTATTTTGTAAACTAGGCTAACAGGGCGCTTCGGGCCCATCTTCTAATTCAACTTTTACTTGTTGCTCATTAATTCAGCATTTTCTCTCCGATAAAACCTTAAATTCTGTTTGCGGATTTACAATTTTTGTCGCAGATTTTGAAGACAATTGTTTAGTATGTAGAGCATCCATAAACTTTCCCTTTGGCCCGATCGATTCAACCGTTTTGACGTTTATCGGTTCCAAACAAACAAACAAAAAGATATATTTAGAAAGACGAAAGAAGATGGTATATTAGGAAGGTTTCATAGAACAAAGGAATTGAGTCTTTGCCACAAACTCTGATTTTCTAATCACTTTATCTTTGGAACCAAATGTTGCAGACCTTAGATATTTCAAACTATGAATTCTGTTAGATCAAATAATCTGAGTTTGAAATATCAAAGGTTTACAACATCGAGTTCTAATTATATTGAGGTTTAAATATTTGATTTTGTTCCAAAGACTCAATTCCTTTGTGTGAAATTGCTTTTTTCTTTATTTTCTTAAAAGATAAGCGTCTTACGACGATGATATGCTCTATTTTTTCAAAGATAATTAATAAAAACTTTCAACCCCTCCCCCCCCTGCTCTATGGGAGGATGACAATGGAAAATATCATTTATACAATTTAGATCAGCGGAGTAAGAGTATCCGATGTGAAAATAAATAAATAATTGCAAGGTACAGTACAAACTCTGTATCTGAAAGCATAATATGAAATGTCAAAAAAGGTCCAAAATAAAACAATTTTCTTTCTATTTTACAAAACACCGCAAACCAAAACCAGAGGGGGACCTGACACAATGAGTTAAAGAAAATGTGCCGTATTTTAAAATGGCCCACCATCGAGGGGAGCTACGTGGGAGTTATTTTTATAAATAAACAGAAATTGCTGATCATTAATTTTCAGGAAAAAAGCAAGAACAATTTCATTATTTTACCAAGATAAAGATGGACCCGGTACTGTTGTTAATCAGGTATACAACTTTTAAAATATTTTAAGTTTTAATTATTGACAAAGTTTAGCATGGTTCTAAAAAGTTGCCCCCCTTTCTAATTATGAAAGAAATTATCTAATATAAACCTATTTTATCTGATATTTTCTTTGAAAAACTCAATTTTATTTAAAGTTTTTAACTTTTAGATAAGAATAATTAACAGAGACGATGTCTTTACATTAGATAAAAACATCAAAGAGAAAAACTTTAGATCACAATACTAGTATATTTTTAAGGAAATCTGTTCAATGTGTTATCTAACGTTATCTAAAAATTTCTTATATAAGAAATATATACCCGTAGTAGTTGAAATAGTAATTAATGCATAAAAGTCTTACGCTACGACTAGAATATGCTAGGCACCCACTCTACTATGCTAGGCACCCACTCTATTAAGCTAGGCACATACTCTATCATGCTAGGCACCCACCAGATTATGCTAGGCTCCCACTCTATTATGCTAGGCACCCACTCTATTATGCTAGGCACCCACTCTATTATGCTAGGCACCCACTCTATTATGCTAGGCACCCACTCTATTATGCTAGGCACCCACTCTATTATGCTAGGCACCCACTCTATTATGCAAGGCACCAACTCTAAAAGTTACATAATCCAAGCTGGTACAGCATGTACTGTACATGCATTTATTCTCTACTGTGTACAGCGGACTACCAAGTGTAAAGTCGACCCAACACGTTTAATGCAACAAAGGAAGCCTGGCATAACCACCACAGTGCTAGGGGCTAAACTCTGAAGAAAAAAATCCCTTTTTTTTTATGAGTTTTTACTTGTTTAGAAGGTTTAAGGGTTGTCTGATACAACCATAGAGACGAGTGCACCTTTCCTTATTTGTAAATTCATATCAATGGTTTTCAAAAAATATCATTTTCAAAGATTACAATTTTTTCAAATTATTTTTTGTTTTTAGATATTTCTTTTTCCTTTCCAGTTAAAAATCTAAAGCTAAATGTACCGTGCTACAAAAAAGGTACAGTGATTTTATGTGGTAAATTCCATTATTAATACGGCATTGCGACACTTCAAAGCCGATCCAGCCTTGAAGATTTTAAGTGCAGATTAAGACTATATTTACAATTTGCGAATGGGTCGATTTAATGAAGAAATTTCAACGGTTTGCACGATTCACAACAATACTCTTGAAATCTGAAATTGATTAATTATTTGGAATAAATCGTCATTTTTTCTGACATGGAAGGTGTTTAATTTTAATAATTTCTCCATTGTTTCTTAAGCAAAAAATTCGCAAGTCAATTTTGTAGAGAAACCACAAACAAAAAAATAAGTTTTCAAAAACTAAACCATAAAAATGTGGAAAAAAATTTCAGAAATTGTTTGTTAATTTCGAATCAAAACAAAACTTTTAAGGCATTCAATTTTTGAATGAAAGTACATAAATTTAATCCAGATCATGCCCCACTCACATGGTTGACTTTCTTGTATTTTCTAGTTTTTTGGTGAAATCAAAATATTCCTCGTCGTCTGTCAGGTTTCTAGATTCTAGTTTCTTTATTGCATTTGCTGCTGCGAGGGGGGGAAGGAATATTACACCTTTTTTTCGTCCGACCACCAAAAAACGTCACAAAATCAACTACTCGGCATTACGCTCAGCATTACTTCTTCCAACCAAACCTTATTTTCATGCGGGTGTTGTTTGTGTGCTTTTAAATGTATTTGTTTGTGCCTTTTAAACACTTTTTCTAAAATTTAGGCAACATGATGTTGTTCAATATGGTTTTGATTTGTTTATGACTAAGTTTGTTAACCCTAACCAGGCTGGGGGGGGGGGCATTTGGCGCCCCCTCCTGTAGTTTTTTTTCTTAGCACTCTCATTTTCGACACTATCACCGTGAAATTGTGATTTTTAATGAATAGTAACTTAAAGGTTTTTTTGTTAAATGTTATATTTTTTATTTATAGGCCAGGGTACATGGCGGAAAAAAGTCTGGTCTGTGAAAAAAAAAATCTAAAATAGACCATAACTTTTTTGTGACTAAAGCTACAGATCTGAAAACTATATTTTTGAAAAGCCCTTGAAAAATGCATGTAGAAACCTGGGTCACACTTTGAGATTTGTTTAAAACAAAAAAAAAATTTTCATTTTTTTTACCCTTTTTTAGGTATCTTTTTCAACCCTCTCCCTAGCGCCCAATCTATTCAAGTTATCGGTCTAATTTTTTTCTTTGAGCTGGCATTGAAAAATTGCTTTACTACAATTGAAATATATGTTATTTTCTTACTGAAAATAACTTTCGTTATTCAGAATGATTATTAGGTAGAGAGTTATTTGGAATTAAAAATTGAATATCAAAAAATTTGTTTTCTTAATTTAACTCCAAAACTATAGCATTTATGCCATAATTAGCTCTGTTCATTTGAATCTACAACTATTAAACAACAGTTTTTTTTCTCAATTGAAACATTGTTGAAGAATAAGCATGCTTTAAGGGATTTGAAAATATATTTCAATGATTTTTTTATGCCTACTGCACCCACAACATGTGCTTTATAAAATAAAAATAAAGGATAACTATTCAAAACCATTGTTAGGGTCATGACGTGGCTTAAAATTCGAATTAGATGATTTTACGAACATTGTAAAAGGACGAAAAAATGCAGGACGAAAAAAAGGTGCTATGCTATGCCCATTGCCGAGAAGTTGATTTTGTAACGTTTTTTGTGGTCGGACGAAAAAAGGGTGGTGTGCTTTCCCTCCCTCCTGCTGCTTGATGTTTATACAAACTTGTTTTACAAGATCACGAGCACACCGCGCAAATACTCAAATCTGAAATTAATTTCAAAATAGATCATTAAGGACAGAAATTGTGAATTTTCAATATTTTTTGTTCCTTTCATGTTAAAAATTGCTTAAAGATAATACTTTTATAGTAAAATAACATAAACTTTTAAACTTAATTTTTTGCTTAAATCGGCTTTAGAACAAAATAGTACAAAAGATTAATTACTTTTGTTTTTGTTTGGACCTTTAATTACAGAACAATACGGAGTTTATTACCTTCCAATCCAGCTCCGAGAAAGAAATTAAGTCTTTGCGACAAACTCTGATTTACAAATCCCTATATCTTTGTAACCTAATTTCGAAGATATTAGGTATTTCAAACTATGAACTGTGTTATAATCAAGAAAGTTTGAGATATAAAAGGTTTACATCATCATGTTGCAACCATATAGAGATAAGAAACCTTGAGTTTGTGGTAAAGACTGAATTCCTTTATCTATGCTTAATGATGCCTGTGTAAGTTTTGCCTGGATTTTTAGATGAGAACAGGTTTGGAAATTTAATCATGGTGCGAGGTTATACATTATATACTGTGTAAGTTTTGCCTGGATTTTTAGATGAGAACAGGTTTGGAAATCTAATCATGGTGCGAGGTTATAAATTCGTCAGAAACCGCAGAGTGGAAATAACTTAAATTTATTCACTCATACTCGTGTTGTCAACTGTACAGCACCAAACCAAACCAAACCAAACCCAACCTAACCAAGCCAAACCATGCCTCCAGATTCCAATGTAGAAGAGTCTGAGAATAAGAAGCAGAAGTTGCAGAAATGGTTGGATCAGAACCAATATACAAGGTAAACCCTGGTCTTTGATTATCCTTTGAAATATCAATTTGATCGACCTACTTGATTCTTTTCGAAATTATGAAAACTTTGTTCAAATCTACGAATAATTTGTTAGGTGTTACAAGATGTATGAGAAATTCCTAACATTCTTTTCAAAAGTTCAAACAAAACTTTTGTAATTTCAAAATAATGCTATAAGTTTTTTGTATTAACATTGCATGAAAAGAAAGAAGGAACCGGTTTTATTGTAATTTTTGTAAACAATAATAAAAATTGTAAACAAGGAGTGGAATTCCTTAGCTGGGCATTCGGGTTTCAGGTTTTTGCAACTAATGTTTACAAATGTTATTTGTTTATCAATAAACGGGTTCTAACGCTGCTCTAGCACAGGGTGTCCCACGAAACATGACAGTTGGTGAATAATTTTGAATGACAATTTTTCTTCCACATACTGTATTAGATATTAAAGACTTTTTGCGGTGTATTACTTTAAAAAAATGATTAGCTCATATATACTTTACTGTAAAGTAAATTTTACTATGGTATAACTGTAATATAAAAAAAGTTATTAGTCTCTTTATTATCAAACAACTTATCAAATTATGGAAGAAGACATTTTAAACTATTCACCAACTGCCATGTTTCGTGGGACACCCTGCACGTCACAGTATAATATAAACAACCCATTTACTCCTTAACTCTCCTTAGCAATTTTTAACCCGTTGAAACCTTGAAATGATCAATAATATAGATGATGTTGTCGTTTTCCTAGGCTTTAAAGTGTTCAATTCTGATAATTCCCATATTTTTCCCCTCTCAGTGGAAATGAACAAGTCAATTTTGTAGAGAATCCACAATTAAAAAAAATAAATTTTCAAATCGTTAACACTGATATATCTGTTTTATACTTGATCAGACAAAACTTTTAAGGGTACCGTTGTAAATCAGGCATAACAATTTGAAATGAAATTACATTTAAGTCTAATAATCTAATCATAGAGAATAGTATATATATAGAGAGGAATTAAAAGAATCTCTCGGTATGAATTTTTTCAGTCCCTTTCAGCCTGAAAGGGAGTTCAAAGTGTACAAATCATGTAAATGTTCACAAATTATATGCAGTAGAGTACATTAATACAGTATGTTCCCTAGACTATTCATTTCAATTTCGAATTTTTAAAGCTGTTAAATAAACTTTATAATGAATTAGTTGAATAAAAACATCATTTGATTTATAGTTAAAACGGAAAATCATCGTTTGTAAAGTGGAAGGCATAGAGTCTATGTGAAATGATCATTGGTCAATTATGAAACCAGCCTATTTCATAATTTGGTTTTCTTTTAACAATAATTTTAGATTTTCAATAAAATGATATTCCAGGGCCCAAAAGGTTATATAGCATAAATATGTGAAGTACACCTGCAGTATGGAAACAGTACAACAAAATGGCCGTTTTACACTTTTTTCCATTAAATTCCTCTCTATATATTCTATTCTCTATGAATCTAATGCATATTGTCTGTGTGAGCAATTATATAAAAAAATCAATAAATGCAATTTCGCATAGCTCTATGTTTGTTTTTATATCAATGCATTAAAATCAATACTCCATATCGACGCATGCATGTTAATTGATCAGTTATAAAATTGCGGAACGTAACTGTACAAAATGCATTATGTGAAAGTATAGTATCACTGTACAGATTATATTGTTTACAAATTGTTCATAAAATGTACATTTTGAACTCTACACATTCTGTTATGTACTTCCTATAAAAGTACATAACTGTTTTTTCTTTTACATTTTCTAGAATTTCTAACCATGTTTGAAATGAGATTTGCAAGCAAAAGTATTTCAGTTCCACTCCATTTGACAATTTATATATATATATATATATTATATGTATGCTATACATATATTCTAGATAAGTTAATATATCATATATTGAAGACATATCTGGTAGATATTTCAAATTTAGCTTTTCTTGAATCCTAATCTGTTATTTAAAAGTTAAAAAATTATAAAGAGAAAGTTAAAGAACCTGTCAAATCTTTCGTTGGGATGTTTAGAAAGATGAAAATTTCCCTGTATGATAATTGAAGGACTGCAGTATGGTTTTGGTGAATTATATTGACGTACTAAGCCTAGGGTTGTCAGAAATGATTTTTTTTTGCATTTTTTTGAAAACGTTCAATAAACCTAAAGAAGTTTAATTTTGATAAAACTTTTTGTTCTGGATGATTACAAATATCTATCTAAAACTTTTTAAACCGGCATATTTTTTCTATATTCATTTAGTTAAGAGTTTGAGTTAAGATAAGTATTAATAAATATTGCTTTATATCGAGTAGATATCCTTATACATATCGATGTGAAACCTTTCAGAAAGTAGGAAAGATTCTGCAGAAAAAAGTTGCCAAACCAAACAGAATTTTTATTTTGAACAAAAATATTTAGAACTTATGTAGAAGCTTTTCTGGGCTGCAATTTACTCTAGTTTTGCATTATTTTCATTTGTGTATAACAGTATAAAAAAGGTTCCGTTGATGGTTTAAAACTAAACAGCTGATGATTCATTGGAGGGAGGAATGGCAAAAACACCAATTTGTAATTCTCAAATCTTTTTATGGAAAGTGATGGAAACAGGGTATACAGAGTGCTTCAGGGTACAGGGTTCTACAATATACTGCAAAGTACTGGGCTTTACTGGGGTATACTGGGGGGAGGGGGTACAGAAACCAAACAGAATTTTTTATTTTTAATAAAAATATAAGTAGAGTCAGTTAAGCACTTCAATGGATGTTTTCTTTATAGTTTTGCACTATTTGCACTATTACAGAAACAAAACAGAATTTTTTATTTTTAATAAAAAAATATATGCAAGCACTTCTAAGGATGTTTTCTTTATAGTTTTGCACTATTTTCACGGAAAAAAAGCTAGTTTAATACTAATCAGCTGACCACTTAATGGAGGGAGGGATGGCAACAACGCCAATTTGCAATCCCAATAACTGCAGGGTACTGTTGGGTACTGTTGGGTACTGCGGGGTACTTTGGTGTACTGTGGGGTGCTGTGGGGTGCTCCCTCACTCCATTAAGTGATCAGCTGATTAGTATTAAACTAGCTTATTTGTCCATGAAAATAGTGCAAAACTATAAAGAAAACATCCTTAGAAGTGCTTGCTTATATTTTTTTATTAAAAATAAAAAATTCTGTTTATATATATATATTTTTATATATATATATATATATATATATACAGCATAGTTTAAGTTTAATGTACGTTTTTATAAGATTAGCAAGTATAGATATAACGTAGTTAAGCTATCTCCACACATGTTTAGCATAGTTTAAGTTGAATGTATGTATATAGAAGATTAACATGGATAGATATAAACGTAGTTAATCTAATGACAATGTATGTTTTAATCATGTAACGTAGCTCATGTTTATCTAGGTATGCTCAGGTTAACAAATATGGAGATTGCCACGATATTTGCTACAGTCAAACTATCATTTGGTCAAAGTTCTTCTGACAAATCTAAACTCCTTAATTCAACATGTCATGTTGAGAGTTTAAGCTAAGCTGTGTGGCTTAACTTATTTATATTCAAAAATCCTGACTGTGCTTTTCAAGTCAATAAACCTAGGTTGCATGTTTAGGAATATCTAAATATAACAATTTATCAAAAGTTTAAATTTAGAAAACAAAACCTGTTTTTAACTTAAAGGGCGAGTCTGCAGAAAGCTCCCTGTATAAAGATAATATTAAAGGTTGCTAAGAATGGTTTTATAAATGTATTATATGTGAGTAAAAGTAAACATTTATATTCTTTAGTTTACTAGACATGACATGATAATGTGGAAATCCTAGAGAAACCGTCCACATTTCAAAACTTACCTAAAACGCTAAATAAAAAACGTATCCTGAAAAGGAAAAAGATAAAGAATAGAAATAAAACGCAAAACGAAAAAAACATATTCTAAAACGTCAAATGATTGAAAAAGCTATCATTTAACATAAAATGAAAACGAATCCTAAAACTTAAAAAGAAAAAACGTATCTTAAAAATTAAAATGAAATAGCGTATCCTAAAAATTGAAAAGAAAAAACGTATACTAAATATTAAAAGAAAAAAGGTATCATAAAAATTAAAAAGTAATGACGTATCCTAAAAATTAAAAAGAAAAAACGTAGGTTAAAAATTAATTCAATTCAACTATTTGAAATCATAACATGAGTCTAACAGTTGTCTCTCTAATTCCACAATTTATTATTTATTGTATACAGTGTTACCCACAAAAGATGAGACTGTAATGCCAACTTTAAATTCACCAAATTTGACGACCCCAAGTTTAAATTACGTCGGTTGTCTTGAATGAGATCTTTAAAAATATTTTTAAATGATTTGTCAAGTTCAAGAATCAAGTTTAAAACTACTGGGAACCATTAATATAATGACACAGACAGGATGATTTCTGTCGCCTCTGAAGTCTGTTTCTTTTTGGGTAACTTTTTACTTTTATTTCTAGGCGAGGAATTCTTCGATACGAACGAATTTTTGGGACAACATATGTCAGTGTAGGAGGAGAAACTACAACCAGGTTTTCATTCATTCATTCATTCATTAATTCATTCATTAATTCATTAATAACTAATTTCATTAATTCATTAATTCATTAATTAATTCATTCATTCATTCATCCATCCTATTTAATGATAATTTGATCAACACCTCAGTTAGTCGGTTGATCAGTTATTGATTGATTGATCACGTGATCAATGCTCTTCCATTGATCAGTTGATTTAGATGACCTGTTGATCAGTTGACCATTTAATCAGTTCACTCACTGATCAGTTTATCTGATCGTCAGTTTATCAATAAATCAGATGATCAGTAGATGAGTTGATCAACTGATCTCCTTGATCAGTTAAATCATATGACCTCTTTAATCAGTTGATTAGTTATTCAGTTTGCCTACTGACAAGTTGAATATATGATCAAATAATCAGTTTATCAGATCAGATTATCAGTTGATCAGATATTCAGTTTGCCTACTGACAAGTTGATTATATGATCAAATACTCAGATTTTCAGATCAGTGGCCGAATTTAAAGAATTTAAGCGGCGGTTTAAATTTAAGCCGCGGTTTAAATATGGTTGGTTCCACTTAAAATTGTATTAAATGTTTCAAGATTTAAGCCGGCAGGCACTAAATTTAAACCAGGTTTTGACGGATTTTGGCGGATTTAAACCGCGGCTCAAATTCTTTAAATTCCATCTCAGATTATCAGTTGATCAGATATTCAGTTTGCCTACTGATAAGTTGAATATATGATCAAATAATCAGTTTATCATATAAGATTATCAGTTGATCAGATATTCAGTTTGTCTACTAATAAGTTGAATATATGATCAAATAATCAATTTATCAGATCAGATTATCAGTTGATCAGATATTCAGTTTGTCTACTAATAAGTTTAATATATGATCAAATAATTAGTTTATCAGATCAGATTATCAGTTGATCAGATATTCAGTTTGCCTACTGATAAGTTGAATATATGATCAAATAATCAATTTATCAGATCAGATTATCAGTTGATCAGATATTCAGTTTGTCTACTAATAAGTTTAATATATGATCAAATAATTAGTTTATCAGATCAGATTATCAGTTGATCAGATATTCAGTTTGTGTAATGATAAGTTGAATATATGATCAAATAATTAGTTTATGAGATCAGATTATCAGTTGATCAGATATTCAGTTTGTCTATTGATAAGTTGAATATATGAGCAAATAATTAGTTTATCAGATCAGATTATCAGTTGATCAGATATTCAGTTTATCTACTGATAAGTTGAATATATGATCAAATAATTAGTTTATCAGATCAGATTATTAGAGTTGCTTTTACTCCAAAGATATGAAATACATATGTTTAGAAGATCGCGTCAATTATAAATTTAAAAAGTGTAAAAAATGTTTAGAATGTTTACGGAGAAATTGGGTCTTCAACCAGAGATGAAAGTTTTAGACATTGGTAAATATTGATTCATTTGAAATATCTAATGTAACTTGTAAATATATATTTTTTTTGTTGTAAAAAAATCATATATTTAAATAATGGTAAAATAATTTGATATATAGTTAATATGCTTTTAGAAATTTTTATTGTTCAAATCCACCAATTTAAGAAAAAGAATGATTATTAGATCTTAAATTTTTTATTCTCTCCAAAAATGTTTTTTTGAATATCTTCTTAGTTTTTTATACCTTAAATTAATAGACATGTTTAAAGTTGATAAGTTAACCGACTGTCAAGTGCTTTTCAATTTATTTATTTACAATAAGATTTAAACTAAACTTATGAGTTTTATTTGATAATGATAAACGTTTTGAAAGAGCAACTGATTAATCGCATGGTTCCATAGCATATATCTGAAAACTAATGATATCAATAATTAATAAGTAAATTAATAATTTATGATTAATGAATGAAATGCAGTTTACAAATATCATCATGAAAATAAAAAGAATTGAGATTGAATCTATATGTTTTCTGAACAAATATAAAAAAGTATACGTAGACTGATAAATGTTAATATTAACAAAATTACATCTCTGATATCAGCTAGATTGGAAAGGTACATTTTGGGATGGAAAATATGCTTTCTGTGTCAATTCCTCCTTATGTACAGGGTGTCCAACCAAAAAGCTTTTTAGTTTTGGGGCCTCCTACCCAAAAGAATGAAACAAAATCTTTAAAAAATCGAAGAAATATTTATTGCATGGACTAAGGAAGAGAATTCATTCTGATGATTAATGTGCAATCATAAGCCCGTTACAGTTCCATATTATGATATGGCAAGCTCCCAGCAAATCCATAGAATCTACAATCTACAGACTCGATCAACAATGATTGGCATTTTTTATAAAATATGTGCATTTATCCATAAAAAATGACTTAAGATGAAGACAAACAGACCAAGTTATATCGATAAATATTGTTTATTGAGGAACAAAACATGAAAAACCTGACTGCTAAGAGAGTAGCTTAAAGTTTACAAAAATAATATTAAATATATTATTGATCTAGGTTGTGGCATAGGGGGATCTGCTTTCTATATGGCGAAAAGGTAATAAGATTATTTTAGATTTTATCTATCTATTTATCTATCCATCTTTTAATCTATCTAGATGGGGTGTAGATGTACATGGTATAAATCTATCTATCTACCTATCTATCTATCTAGGTTTGGTGTAGATGCACATGGAATAGATCTATTTATCTATCTATCCATCTATTTAGGTTTGGTGTAGATGTACATGGAATAGATCTATCCACCAATATGATTGGTATTGCCCAGGATTACAGGAGTGAACTTGAACCTATGGTGAAGCACAGGTAAATCATGTTTAACTAAACATAAGAAAAAGGTCGACAAGATGTGAACTCTTCCTTGGAGCTAGTTTTACACTTAAAATAAAACCCTGTACGAAAATTCCGGGTTTTACATCTTAAATTGTAATCTTTCTCTAAAAGGGAGTGTCTGGCTAGATAAAGTTATAGTTGAGCTGAGAATGCAGTATTGTAAAGCGGTAATTCAGTCTTTAAAATCTTGTACAGAAAATATTGTAGAGACATTTTTAGGATTTATTTGAGACCTATCATGCGTTTTAAAGGTGCATATTTGTTCATAAAGAGCAGGAATTCAATCTTTAAAATCTTCATAGATTTTCCATTTCTGAGGGATAATTTGAGAATCAGCTTTTAACATTTATTCAATGACTACCACGAAAAATGTGACAAAAAATCTACAGTAAACTAATAAATTGTTTAGGAACAGGTTAGGAAAATAAAAATCAACTCTAATCATCGAAGTTAAGTAGTCTTATGTGGAGACCCTGGATTACCAGCTGATTGCCAGAAACTCTGAAGACCAAACCAAACATATTTATTCATTTTAATTTCTCATGTTGTAAGTTAGAACAAAAATATACAGTTAGTCCCGTTTATATCTTTGTTATTTTGCGTCGCTACACTTATTCAATTATTGGTTTCTGTAATGTCTCATCATTCTTTAACATTTTAAGTAGATTTCCTGGAATTTTTATTAATTTAAAATTCGTAAATAATAAGACATTCAATATTATGTAGAAAATTATATAAATGATTCTAACATTGATTTATTGACAATATCCACTGAAAGTTTCAGCCTGATCCCTTGAAATCACAAGGCGGGGCAATGAAGACAATATGATGCTAGTCGCAGGGTGCAAAAATTTGGAGTCGGATCTCTACCAAACGTGAGGGCAACTAAGACCGGGGTAGGAGAGAATACTTTGAAATTTTCAGCGCATCCATGAAAATTTAAGAAGGCAGGGGGATGCGTTTGCTAAAAGTCGCGGGTTGCAAGAAATCCGGATTTCGAAAGTTCTCGGATCTTGGCAAGATTCGGGAACTAAAGAGGCCGGCTCTCGCCCGTTCCAAAAATGTGCTTGCCAGCCGGAGCACTTCAGTACGAGGGTGCTAGAATGTTGGAAAACCCGCTGGTCGTGGGATGCAATTTCAAATTGAGAAATATGCTCTTAAACATCTATTTGCGGTAGATTTTTTTTACATTTTTCGTCATCGTTATTAAATGATTTTTAATAAACCGATTCTCAAAATCATCCCTACGAAATGAACAGTCTAAAAAGATAAAAAGAAAAATAACAGAGTAAAGTAGTCCTTGAAATTAGCAGGCTCGAAGGGGATCATGTCAAAACGAAAACTAGCTTGACAGAAGTGTTTAAATATAACCTCGTTGGTTTGCTCCTTCCTTTGTGCTACATTACTTGTACGAATTAGTCATCTCGTAGTCAGGGGCGCGCGCGCAGCTAGTTTTATTTGTGAAGGATGTGAAGGGGGGTGGCATGAAAACTGTTTAACTCTGATAACTTCTTTGGTGACATGGAAACGCCTCAACACGTGTTGAGGCGTTTCCATGTCACCAACTTCTTTTTGGTTTCTTATGCAAAAATTGCGCTAAATACTTAAGCAGAGACTCCACAAATAAAAATGTTAAGTTTTAAAAATCAAAAACATGGAATGCTTTTAGAGTATCGGTGTGATACCACTTTATCAATGGAGTGTCATTTAGGTTTACAGTTTTTAAAGCCAAAAAGAATTCATATAAATTCTAAAAAGGTAAGTATTCATAATTTTTCGTTATCTATTTGAAACATTTAACGAACTTTTAAATTCTTGACAATCT